CCACCCCTTGAGCTAACTTTTGGGGTGGTGTATCTCAAGTTCTTTACATGGTATCAGAGCTTGAGTGACTAAAAGGTCACAAGTTTGATTCTCACGGCCCCCCACTTTCAAGTGGAATTAAAATAAAAAAAAAGCACAAAAAGGTAAACCAAAAATTGGGCCTGTGCAATTCCACGCTTCTAGCCCAAAGGGCTCTTGCGTAAGGGGGCGTGTTGAGATAAATAGTCTCACATTAATTATGTGGACAACTAATGTGGCCTTTATAAGGCCTTGGACTCTCCCACCCCTTGAGCTAACTTTTGGGGTGGTATATCATAAGTTCTTTACATGGTATCAGAAGCTTGAGTGACTAAAAGGTCACAAGTTTGATTCTCACGGCCCCCCACTTTCAAGTGGAATTAAAATAAAAAAAGCACAAAAAGGTAAACCAAAAATTGGGCCTGTGCAATTCCACGCTTCTAGCCCAAAGGGCTCTTGCGTGAGGGGGCGTGTTGAGATAAATAGTCTCACATTGATTATGTGGACAACTAATCTGACTTTTATAAGGCATTGGACTCTCCCACCCCTTGAGCTAACTTTTAGGCTGCCTTACTAGGTTTTAAGTTGGCCTCAGGTATGATTTCGAAATGTTTGGCTTGACGGCGACTCTTATTGGCAGGGGTTGTATTGAATCAGCATCCCCTTGCCACTCTAGTAAATGGTCTTATTACTAATCAAGCAAAACTGGACGGTAAATGTGTCTCATATTGTTAAGGAGGTAATTTTATTGCAGACTACATTGCAAAAAATGCATTGAATGAAGATTGGAATGTGGATCCCTCCGAATTATATAAGTCTGTTGCATAGGGACTCAATCGGTGTCTCCATATACCCATTCTCTGTAATCCTTAGTAGGAGTTTTTTATTTTGTTATTTTTTTCCTTACATGTCCAAAAAAAAATAAAAAATGAAGTCAACAAATGGAACGTTTATTGAACCCAACTACTTGGAAGTCATGATATATTTATATATTTATATTAATTAATTAAATAGTAGTTATTTTTTAGGCATTCAAACATGATTAAATAAATATTTGGGTTTCGTGCCGCACTCATGGCATCCATTAGCTTTGCCTTCGTTATTTTTAAAACGACCCAAAACCCTAAGAAAAGAAATGCTTGTTTGGAGATCAAGTAGCCAGAGCTCTGAGTATTATATACGTGTATTGTCTTGCTAAGATAAATTATTCAAATAAATATTGGTAAAACCTAGACGAATTCAATTGGTAAACTCCTAAAGGATGTTTCTCATGCCACCGTTTTCCATATTCCAAATCACATTACCAAATAATTAATCCCTTTGTTTAATTACAAAAGCGCTCTTGAAGCCACGAAATGTCAAATTTATCCTTTGTAACTTAAAAGAAGAAAATTAGTAATAAAGGCTTATTTTGACATTGGACTATTTTACATACAATAAATTGATAGAAGGCTTATTAACAGACGATTCTACGTAAATAGTCATGACACTCCTGAATATCCAACAACATGGGTTATTCAAATCCTCCGTCACGCGCAAGAGAATTAAACTAAAATAGTGGATCGGAAAAGTTTTATTAGATAAATGATTTAATGTGGATTCTTATACGTTCACGTATTCTTCAAATTTAATAATTCTTTTTGCAAAGGGAAGGAGGTGAAATTACCGAATATTCGCACGCATTAAACCGAATATTATTATACTAATAAAATGCCTCTTGCTTTAATTAACCTTGAGCTGCAACCCAGCATGTGAGGAAATCTTGGGATTGTGTACCTCTGAATAAATTTTGTGTTGGTTTTATCTTTCTTCTTTTAACTGTTTCCCCTTCCTCAAACGAGTCAAACACCATTGTTTACATGTTCAGAAATCCTCCACTATTTTAGACATTAATATATCTGTGTGGTTAAAGTAACTCACAAAAATGGTTGGGTGGGAAGATTTTCTTCTTGATTTATTTAATTATTTTCATAACTTCACCTATTAAAAGTTAGAGAATAAAATAATGTAACGGAGAGAGTCCCGATGTTGGTTGCTTATATAGGACAAACGTATCATATACTCTAAGGCACTTTTTTAAGCATGAAATTTTTGAATATGATTATTTGCTATTACCAACTTGTTGGATTGTAAAAAGAAAAGTTTTTGTGCTGATTTTGACAGACAACATTCTGCATCGAGATCTAAGGAGGAGCTAGGAGGGTAACTGTTCTTGGGTTCATAACATGTAATTTATAAAAGAATAACTTGTCTAGAGCTGAGATTGGCTGCCAATCAAAAGCAAAGCTTACAATCCGTTTGCAAGGACTTTTTCTTCAGAAGTTGTAATTTTTCAATATATAAAGTATAAAAGTATAAATATTAAGATATGTGAAATATTAATATATATAAAAGATATACAAGATATGTGAGATATATAATAAAAATGAAGAAAAATATAAAGAGTGTGGCAAAATGGTTATTTGTCAAGTCAATTTTTATGAATTATAAATACTAGTATCAAAAAAGGGAAAATACTTTCTTATGTTGATGGAGAAAGCATTTCTCATGTCACTCATACATCGATATATGTGCATTGTTTTTTTTTTTTTTTTTAATTTTTTAATGGTGGGACCTACTTTAAACATGTGTGTAGGAGAATTTCTTTTCTCATGTGAAAGGAGAAAAACAAAGTCCATTAAGAAATTGTTCGAGGCATGAGAATAAATTGTAAGTCATGTTGCAGTGATGACTTTGCAACTTTGTCTTCAAAAGTTGACTTTGATCTTGGAATTTAGCTTAATAAAAGGTTTGCAACTTTGTGAATCTTAAAAGTTCTTTGAAGTGGTTTTATGATATTATTTGTGCAAAAATTATAGAGTGGGAGGGGTTATACCTTTTTTCGGTGGCGGAGCCATGTTGTACGTGAGTGTGGCCTCGTCCGGGCTAAATTTTAACAAATTATATTTATCATGTATAATTATATAATTAATTATAATTTGGTCCAATCTAAAATTGTAATTTGGCCCGGGCTAAAATTTGTAATTTGTCCCTATCAAAAAATTAAAATATATTTAGTGAAAGATTTGAGTAAGTTGTATTAAGTTATGTGTTCTATTTCCATTTATATTAAAAAAAATTAAAATATAGTGAAAACTTAAAAAAAAAACCCTATAACTTTCTTCATAATCATTTACTCTCTCTTCAAAATTTTGAATCATTTACCCCCTGATTTAAAGTTTTTTTTATCATTTACCCCCTAAGTTGGGGAAAAAATGAGAAAAAAACTTTAAGTCAGGAAGGTAAGTGATAAAAAAATATAAATAAGGGTGTAAATGATTCAAAAATTTTGTGAGGGGGTAAGTGATAATTAAGAAAACTAAAAGAGATTTTTTTGAAGTTTTTCCTAAAATATATCCAATAAAATTTAAAAATATTTAATAAAACTATAATTTTTTTTATGCTTACTGCTCGAGTGTTTTGTATTTAATATAATTTAAATATATTATGATATGAATTAACTAAAATTAAGAAAAATAAATTTTTTGGCCCGGGCTTTGGTTGTAGCCTGGCTCCGCCACTGCCTTTTTTATCCTTTCAAAAGTAGTTATGGGGGATTTGCAGCTTTATTTGAGTAAAAAATGTATTGTAATATTTATTTTGGTAAACTTAATATTTTTTATGTAGATGTAAGCATATTAGGTCCGATTGAGTTTAATTATGTGATTTGTTTGATGTTTTTCCTTGATTATTATTATTTATAATATCACATGGAAAAGGGGATATGATATTCCCCAACAAAATGTGCGAAATGTTTTATATTTTGTCTTTAGTCATGGATTCAAGCTTTGCTTTCTTATTATGTGCTTGTTAAAATGCTATCGTGTAATTTGATATTGTTTTGGATAGGGCATATTAAATCCATTCAGAGACTCAATTTACTAGCTTCACTGAAGAATTAAGGTTATATTTACACCATTCTATCTCATTTTTGTTTTCCAAGCAAACGTGCCCCTCTTATCATAAGTGATCATGCTGCATTACACCATCGTGGGATCACGGAACAAAAACATTTTGACTCATTAGGATAGGAAATGTTCTCCTTATTATAAATGTTATAATCCTTGAGAAGGAGACATCATAGTTAACATCACACTCAAGTCTTGATTATACTATTACTTTGTTAAATTCCCTTCTCACGCTGCCAAATTATACCCTTACACCTACCCATTGATTCATAGCCTTAGCTTGAGACCACCGATCTTGAAGTTGTGCTCTTATTCTCCCTGTTCAATCGGTTACTATTATATTGAGATATTTTACCCCAAAAGGGAAACATTATCCTCTCTGCCGTTTAATAAAATAAGATATTTACCCTTTAGATTATATTTTGGGTTAAAATCACGACGCATTATGAATTAAACCAATACCGGATACACCATTGTTTATTTACTTTAAAGTTTAAACACCAACTTACTTACAAGAGTTTTGTTTTTGTTTTTTAAAGAAAAGTCTCTCGTTAATTTGCTATACTGACTAGCTTTATATATCTTTAGCCAGTGCGAGTCCATGTTTCTCATAAAAAATAATGGGCTTTGTATAAAATATGATAATCCGTGACGTGTTATAAAAATGAGCTGTTTAGAAAACCCTACTTGGGTTGAGGACGGTTGGATTGTGTCCGTCTACCAACTACTTTTTTTTTTTTTCTTTTAAATGTTTGAGGTTATATTTCTTAAAAAATAAAATAAAAAATTGATTAGTAGTTAGTTTGTTGCTAATTAATATATTATTTTAATGAATATTTGCATTTAATTGCTTTTATTGTTTCCTCGGGTGAAGTTTGGGCCATAAAGTTGAGGACGGGATGGGTAAGATGTCAGAAAACGATGTGGACAAAAATTTAGTGTAAGGGGGTAAAGGTAAAATGGGCTTGCTAGGGCCCAAATAACAAAATCGCATTTAATGGGGAGTTAGTTTACGAGTGGGAGAAACGAGGGAAGGAAATAATAGGAAAGGGTTTGTGATTGAATTGGGGATTTAGGGATTGTGTACAGTAGAAACTAGAAATGAATTTGAAGATGGATTCTGATAGAGCGAAGCTGTTTGTAGGGGGAATTTCTCGGGACACCAACGAAGATATTCTCAAGCACCACTTCGCCAAGTACGGCACCGTTTCGGGTTCCACCATTTCCATAGACCGCAGCACCCGAAGCCCTAGAGGTTTTGGCTTCGTCACGTTCTCTGATCTCTCTGCGGCTGATAAAGCCCTTCAAGACTCCCATGTTATACTTGGAAGAACGGTTAGTTAGTTAGTTAGTTAGTTACTTTCTCTGTTTGTCCTCTTGTCTTGTTTCACTTGAAAAATATTATTTTACTTTCAACACACCACACACATTTTACAAATTTTGAGGAAAGTCAAACCCTATATGCTTTCTTGATGGGTTTGTTTGATTTATGGTTAGTTCTGTTTGCTTGTGTGTAGGTAGAAGTGAAAAAAGCAATACCCAGAAATGAACAGCAACACCAAAACCAATTACATAATAGAGGGGGAAGTAATTATATTAGTAATGACTGTAGCAGTGACAACATTAGGACTAAAAAGATTTTTGTAGGTGGTTTACCTGCTGGTATATCTGAGGAGGAGTTTAGGAAATACTTTGAGAGGTTCGGTCGTATAACTGATGTAGTGGTGATGCAGGATAGTGTAACTCACAGGCCGAGGGGGTTTGGGTTCATCACATTCGATTCAGAAGAATCCGTTCAAAGCGTTATGGTGAAAAGCTTTCATGACTTGAATGGTAGACAAGTGGAGGTCAAGAGGGCTGTTCCAAAAGACGGAAACCATGTTTATGAGGGTTTTAATAAATTAAGATATAAGAGTGAAAGAGGAGTCTCTAAAAGTTTTCCTCATTATAGTCCTAGGAACATGCTCCCTGGCTTTGCTCCAATGCCTTGGTATGGCAGTGATGGGGTATATGCGTACGGAACAAACACCTATGGTTGCTGGTACCCGATGGGTGGGTATGGGGGGAATGGATATGCAGTTCCATCTGATGCTTCTAGGAACTTCTGGTATGGGCCCATGATAACTGGTCCTCAGACATGTCAGGTGCCTTATGCCAATGCTTCACCAAGTTTTGGATATGTGGGTGGTAGGGTTGGAATGGTAGGTAATGGTGCTGGAACCTGGGGGTACAATGGCATTCTTGGGTCTGCAACAAATTTGAAATTTGATCAACCTTTTAATGCCAATGGATTTGTTCCAGGCAATGTGAGATCACCTCAAGGTGTAAAGCAGGATGTTGACTCTTCGAGTTTTAAAGGAAGCAATGGTGAAATTTCTAGTTAACAGAACTAAAGGGTCTTTGGGCCTTAATTCATGTTGGTAAATACTTCCTGACTGCTACTTCTGGGCTATGAAAGGTTGGCATATTCTTTGCTAGATGTTGTAAGAGCTAGTCACTTTTCTTTTTTCTTGTTAGTTTTAATTTGTGAAGATACCTTTTTATGTGTCATAAATATGTAGATTAGCAAACTGTCATGTTTAGTCAAGGAGTTTTATCAGTAGAGGATTCAGGCATCTGTAAAATAATTTCATGCAATTCCTTTTCTGTTTATTCTTCCTTTAATCTTTTTCACAGTTGGTGCTATTTGCTTTCTTTGCAGTAGTTCTGTTCCCCTTCCACTATCACATACTGTTCCTTCATGGGTTCCTTGCACCTTACTTCATTGAAATGCATTTTCCTTTGTTTGCTGGGCTTTTAGCAAGTTAGAATGATTATTATTTGTTTCGCAGATGCAATCAGGGCATATTGATCTTTTAGTCCAATGTGGGTTAAGTGTGGTGTTAATTCGCGTTATATTATAGTTGTAAAGCCTTTGATGCTAACATGGATGGATAGAGCAAGTTATTACCCCCTTCAAGGTTGGATTGATATGTTTGCTGTGCAGATTATAAAGTTAAAAATAATTGAACCACAGTGACAATTTTCTTTTGACATTATAGAAATGCATTGTCCTTCTAGAAATGGTAAATTAGGTGTCTTTGATTCAAAATGAAAAAAAAAAATTATGTTGCCAAATGTATGCTGTCTCGAGTAGATTCATGCATTATTTATTTAATATCATTGCAAGGCAATTGCATAGAATGCAGGTTACCAGCTTATTGGAACTATCTTAAGTTATTAATTTGGAGTTTATACAATCATAGATGTGGATAATGGATCAAGGGATGTGCTAATTCTGAAGAAAAATGTATACAATTGGATTTTATTAAATTAAAATATTACAGTATTGTTCAAATTTAATTAAGAGGTTGTTTTAAAGGTGCATATTGACACTTGAAAGGTCAATGAATTTTTTTATTTTTTATTTTGGTAAAAGAAAGGTCAATGAATTTAAACAATAGTGTGTGTGTTTAATATTAAAGAAATATATTATTTGTTTTATTTGTCGTATTTTTATCATCAGATAAAACTGTATTCCCATCTGCTAAAGAAAAACTGTATTGCTGTACTTAATTTTGGAATATTACGATGCTTCTTTAATTTGGATCCTTCTAAACCATTAACCTTAGTAAATGTTGAGAAGGCCTGCTCAAAGCCATTAGGTTTGGTCTTGTTGTGGTAAGAGGTTTCAGTAGTTTGTTAAGTGTTTAATTTTCATTCTTTTATTCAAAAAAAAGAAAAGAAAGACCTGCCCGATACTATTAAGTTTTAGGAAAATAGTTGTCTTATGTCACATAACACAACTATCTTATATTACACACTTATGGAATCTTGTGTTCATTTTTTTTTTTTATATATTTTTAAATATTATGGGCCCCACAACTTTGTTTTAGCCACATTAGATACTTATTTTATGTGACATAAGATTAATAACTCTCTAAGTTTTATTTGATTTGAAATTATTGGTTCGAATTAGGCATCCTGAAACACTTTAGTATACGACTGACGGGCTATAAGGACTGCTTTTGGTCGAAAAAAACAAAACAAAACGGACCAAAGTATGTTTCTTTAATATTTAATAAAATCATAATTTGGTAGACTAAAGGTTGTAAGTAATATATAAAAAGGAGGGATACGTATTGTGGTACTCATTGCTAGTTATTTTGTGGCCAGAAGTTATACATCTGGTCTACCTATCAAAAGTTCTTAAATGCATGACAATTGCTTCTCTATAATCAAATTTTCCATATTAATGGCGTGATTTATGGGAATGAATTCTCTGAATTGTCACTTTAATGACAAAATTCTTAAAATGAAAAAGTATAAATATTTAAATTAATTGTAGACCATTGACTTATAATTAAATGGTTGAGATTTATCCAATGATCAGGTCATCTTAATATTAAGAGTAAATACTCTTTTTGGTCCTCAACAAATTTCACGAAGCCCGCTTTAGTCCCTAGCAAATAAAAGGGCCCATCGTGGTCCTTAAGAAATTCAAAATGAATCCATTTAGTTGAAATCGTGGTCTCTCACAAATTCAAAAAAGACTCATATTAGTTCTTAAAAGGACTAAAATGGGTACATTTTGAATTTCTTAGGGACTAGGATGGGTCTTTTTATTTGCTCGGTACTAAAGCGGACATCGTGAAATTTTCTGAGGATAAAAAAGGGTATTTACTCTAATATTAATATTAGACATTATAGGAGGTTATTCTCATTCCGGTGATTAATTAGAACTGTTAATAAAGCAGTTGCATTCTATTGTTAATAGCCTAATAGGGTACATCGTGCTTTTGGACCTTTGGACTTCAAATGCAGATGGACTTTGCAAAAGTAAATAATTGTCTTAAATCTAAAAGAAAAAATAGTTAAAAATGAAATAAAGAGACTAAACTGTACTTTTGGTTGAGAAACAGGTACGACTTACTTTTGAAATTTGCACGATTGTTTTTTTTAATGAATAGTGATAATTGCCCTCGTATGATATGGATGTGTATGGACTTCTTTTTTTAAAAGAGGATCCACCGCTGAGGTGGGCTTTGGGAGCAGCCCTAAGGAAACCAAGGAGAAGGGGGGAGAGGAAAAGAGAATAGAATGCAATGTAGGGTTTGAACCTGCACATCTTCTTAAAACTTAACCAAGTTGTCTCAAATTGACTAATAAGTGTATAATTTTATTTGTTTTAAAATTATATCTTACTTTCGTCTCGGTATTTCATGATTTTGACCGTTTGTTTAAAGGCTTTAATGTTTCTATATTTGCTCCCAAAACGGTATCGGGTTAAAAAATTATAATAAAAAAGACTATTATAACTCTGAAATAAATTATAATTACAAAAAATACATTGATTTTCGCCTCAAAACGACGTCATTTTAGACTTAATATAGATAAGTTATCTACTTTTTTTTTTTTTTTTGATAACAATAAGTTATCTACTTTAACTGTAGAAAAAGCGAACTATTGTTTAAAAGTCACAAATTTTGAATAATTACAAGGAACTTTTGTTAACTTTAGTCTTAATTCGTAAACTTATTATTGAAATTTATTTATTTTAATCTTTTTCATCTAAATATTTTTGCCTTCTATAAAACTTCTTGCACACGGAATTATCGAAGAAACTATTGAATAATGTTATTTTTGATATAGAAAAGGTCAAGCTTCTTTATTCTAAGGTTAGGTCTCAGGTCAAATTAATTTTAACAAGAACTTTTAATGAGATAAATGATACATGATGTTGATCTTTAAGCTACATAATTACGTGTATGTTTGTTTTAATTTTTTTAAGTAATTATTTTTCAAAAACTCTTTCGGGAATCTGTCAACTTGTTTTTCTTTAATATAAGCTAATATTCACGTTTTCAAAGGTTGGTCTGCTAGACTTGGTTGGGCCGGCTAGTCTTTATCCGTTAAAAGTTAACAAGGCTGGGCCATTCGGCAGATCGTGCAAGAATATGATAATATTTTTTTAAAAAATGTTAACAAATATGTTAAGAATATTGACATCGGAATTGAAATAGAAATTAATTAGTGTACCGCAAAAAAAAATTAGAAATTAATGAGGAAAATCCGAGTTTTTTTTAAGTAGGAAGAATTTATAATTTTAAATATTAAAATGTTTAAATTAATATGGTGATACAAATAATAAGATCAAAAGAGAATATAAATTTAAAATTTTAAAAATGAACACGTTCATAATAACATTTATATTTTTCAAAAAAGAATATAATAAAATGTATATATTAAAAAGTTATTAATGACAACATATTGTTTTTTGTTTAAGAAAACAAGTATCTAATATCTTAAAAGTAAAAAAAAAACACTTAAAAATAGTAGTTTCTTTCACTGTTATCAAACCAGAGCGAACTGTGGTATTGAATTGATACCGTTGGAGCTAAATAAAAATACTTACCACGATGCTTAAAAGGATTTTAATGCTAAAAGTCACCTATTATTGTATTTATAACATTTTTATATAAATTCGATTTAACCTGTTAAATAAATAATTTACCGCTTGAATCAATGACCCCAATAATCAATATCCCGACGAATTAACGATGAATATGAGTTTAATAAAAATTGGATTGTTGAGTAATTAAATTTTCTTCTTGTCTTTACCTATGTGTAAGAAATTAAAATAATATTTTTGAACGAGATTCTGTTTTTAAAGGAGGAAAATTAAAAAAGGATTGGAATAGGATGCATGCAATAGGCTGTGGAATTCTGGTACCCTCGCCGTCGGGAAAGATTGTTTCAGTTCTGCTTGCGGTCTCAAATCAGGCTAGACTCTATATTCTATATTCGTCAATTTTGTCTGTATTATTTTGTATTTCGTTTTATTTATTTATTTTTATTTCTCATTCTTTCATGATTCTGTTTTTTTGTGACAAATAAATCTTTATTCACGGTTGACCTTCAGTTCTTCGGTGCTGGCGATCACAGTAAATTTTTGATTTGATGCCCTAGACGTACTATCAACGACACTGCACCTGATTGCTGAATCATGTAGCTATGATAATTTGGATTAGCACATGCCAGTAGATAAGATCACTGCATAAAGTATAAATTAAGAGAAATATATTTATTTTAAAAAAAATATTTATCAATTTAAAGGATGTAAAATTATGTCATTTTAAGTCGCAAAAGAGATAGATAAAAGAAGAGAAAATATGGACAAAAAAATATAAATATATGAGTCTCACCTCTTTATGAGAGAAAAATGACATAAGTTAAAAAATATATTTTCCATTTATTCTATGCAACACATAAAAAATGAATGAAATGTTTTCTTTTTCTTTTTCTTAATAGGTTTTACTCTCTTTTTTATTACATGAAACAATATAATATAGGTAACATGAAAAATGTATTCCTCGTAAGTTAATGCGATAATCACATTTATATGTTTCTTGGATGTAATCTTTAAGAAGGGTTTTATTTTTCTTATATCACATAAGATAAATCTTCTCTCCTACTCTAACAACAAATGGTGGAACCATTCTATTTTATTTTTTAAAAATGAGAAAAAAATAGAGCACAAAAATCGAAGAGAAAGTAGGAGATAAAATTTCTCTTAAGTGATATAAGAAAAATAAAACCCTTTTAAAAAATATACTTATATAGTTATATTATAGTTTATGGCTTTTAATAACTATTTAAAATTAAAGCACTATAAATTATAACGTTTAACATAGAATTTTAGTTTGCTAAAAAAAATGTAAATTTAATATTTTGCACCAAAAAATAAAATATTTTTATTTTAAATAAATTATATAACTTTCTTTTTTAAAAGTC